GTAATTAGTTTTTTTTGATATGATGGATAATTTTAAAAATTATAAGCAACATCTTTTTAATCATTAAATTATATACATAAGTTTTCTAAAATTATAAAATAATCGTGCATATATTTTTAAGATACGTCAAAACAATAAATTGGTTTTAACATAGTCAGAAAGTGAAGAGTTTATAAAAAGTTAATAAAAATAATAGTTTTTTATTGTTGGAAAGTGAAGAGTTTATAAAAAATAAAAATACGAATTATTTAATACAAAATTAACTCACATGCATGGATTGACATACATGTGTCATGTGATATACGCGTGGCGGGACACGTGTCATTAGTATGCACGTGTGGCATGACACGTGTCGTCACCACAACTTTGAAACCCTCTTTTACATATATATATATATATATATATATATATATATATATATATATATATATATATATATATAGGATATAGGATAGGATATACATATGATGATTTGATTTAAAATTCCAATTATTAAAAAAATTAGAACAATGTGATTATATAAATCGGCAAGGTTCCCATGACATTGCCCGGCAATGTCTTGGACCCTTGTCGTATATAAATATATAACAAGCTTGTTCAAATGGTAAAATAAAATAAAAAATTTTAAATTAATGAATGTAGTTGTGCACGTATGCACATAATTATATCTCTATTGAAAGGATAGAATCAATTCGGATTTAATCGGTTTCAGGTATAACCGATTTCGAATCTAATTCGGGTATGAATTCATTTACTTCAATTTCAGCTCGAATCATTTCGAGCATTCAGTTATAGATCGAATACTCACTTTTCGAATCATTTCAGTTTTGGCATCAAATCATTCAGTTCAAATAAGCGGTTATGATTTTGTTTTGGGGAATCTACTCGTCTTTGGGTATTAATGTATTATAAATAGATCATGGAATGAAGCAGCTTCACAAATTAAATAAAGTATCATCATATAATACATAACCAACTTAAGAAATCAATGGGGATTGGGTACGACAATGACGATTACCCATTTGAAGGCCATATAAGAAATCAGCCACCACCCTTTATGGGCGACGATAATGGCTACGTATTGAAGAACCAAAGGGTGGTCCAATTCGTCCGCCCGGTCGTCACCCGCCATGTTTATGTCAACGGTAAACCCGTGAAGGAAGAACGAATTGTGGGCGACTATCAACTCCATAATTATGGTAGTGGTCATAATAATTATTATGCTGACAACGCCCTCAAGGACAGTCTTGATAACCTTGGGATCATCAACGGCTTCCTGGGCCAAGTTCAGACGGAGGCAAGCATGTCGCCGCGTGACGGTGCCGCCGCTTTTCTCGCTCGCCGCCCCGCATCGGCCGCCGCTGCGGTGGAGAGTAAGCCTAATTGGGGTAGCAGGGCTGCTTGGGTAGCCGCCCCCGCCGATGACTCTTTCTCCAGATACACAGAGTATCCCGATCAGGTCAGTCCCCAGATTTGATTTAAGCTAATGGTGACTCGGGGTGCTCCGGTCCCACGTTCCTAAAATTGATGGTTTCTACCTCTTGTTAGAGTGCATCCCACATCGGAAAAGTGTGAGGAAATTGATCGGTATATAAGCTCTAGAGTTGAACTAACTAATCGATTGGATTCAATCTTTTAATGTGGTTCAACCCAAGTGTCTTATTGCCCAATCCAGTTATCACTACCTCATCCTAAATTCTATCATGGTATCAGAGCCAGTTTTAGCTCACCTCGTTTGTCAAGGTGTCCGTCTAGATGTGTTCTTTAGGTGTTAGCGCTCATATAAAAAAAAGTCAAGGGAATGGGAGTTCATTTGGCAGTGTGTTCTGGTCGGGGCCGGGTGGGGGGTTTACCGGGGGTTAGGGGGTAGGAACCGTCAATTTTACGAACGGGACACCGGAGCGCCCCCGGGTCATCCCATGATTTTGAGGTCCAATGTCACTTGAACCTTCTCCAACTTAAAATAGTTTTGATATATTTATGAATAATTCATAATTTACTGAAATTTATGAACTTTGAGTCGCCGTGAAGTTACTAAAGGTGAGTTAACGGAAACAGCCTGTTTTGCGTTAAAAAAAAGTAAAAAAATGATTTTTTTATGTGAGAAGGTTTACAAAAATGATATATACCCAAGGTGCAACAAAGAAGCACTCATTATCCTAATTTTACCCGTTCTTTCAACAATAAAGTAATGCATCAATACTCTGTCATGTGTAAAATTTTAGAGCACTCCACTCGTTATATTTTTATTTTGTTTCTTTTCAATTTTAGTTTAGTTTTTTATTAATTACCTTATTTATTTTATTAATTTTGTATAGTTTTGGTTATTTTTATCATTTTTTATATTTTTATATTTATATTTTATTTTTTATAAGATAAGAATAATATTTAAAAAAGGGAAAAGAAATAGATGTAGAAAAATATTTTAAAACTTTAAATAAAAATTTCAAAAAAAACTAAAATTCACCAAAAAATAATTCGGACTTTCATTTTGGTGCGCAAAACAAGCTGTTCCGTTAACTTGCCGTTAACAAATTAATAGTAGCCCAAAATGCCCAAATTTTAGTAAAGTTGAGATTATTATATACTACAGTGAAAGGTGAGATTATTTTTGAAAAACGTAGTAAAGTAAGAATTATTTTGGATAATTTTTTCCAATATTTATTTATGTATAATTAAATGAGTTTTTCTTTCATACTTTCAGATTAGAAGGGGCATATATGCTCTCCCAGTAAATTAAAAATATCACTCCTGTACATGATAACACCATGATTTAATAAAACAAAAGCAAATTTTTCCGTGGACCTAAGGTCCATACTTATTTTATGGACTTTAGTATATTTATAGTATAAAAAAGTAGGTATTTGTAAAAAAAATCCACATGTAAGTCCATGAAAATGAGTTAACGCCATAAGCATCACTCTAAAAAAAAGTTAGATGTAGAGAATGAAAATGAGTTAAACGCCATACTTTCATTTTATTGATTTTTTATTTAGTACGGAGTAGTTTTTATTAATTAATTTATTTTTAATAGTATTATCATTAGAAAATGCCCCCTGTGTCCCTTAAAACCTTTCGCATTTCCTTTTTCATCCGTCTACAAAAACTTTTTTTCCATTAATATTAAAAAAAACATTTTTACACCTACTAATTCTTAAATCACCTACCACATTACATCTATATATTCACTATTAATCTACCTATCAAATCATTTTTTTTACTCATCACAACCAAGGACATTTTTGAAAACTCATCAACACCATATATACTTCCCTTAAATTCTTTAAAAATCAAAATCTCCTATATTTTTAGGGAGAGGGAGTAGCAAATGAGTTAACCCCAAAATAGTCTGATTATTAAAGTCAATTTCTTAAACAAATATAGTAGACTCAAGTCATTTATTTTTATTTAATTTTTTCATTTATTTTCATTGGCCTAAAACATACTCCTTGTGCTCTTAAAAAGATTGCCACCGTTAGATTTTTTAGTCAAATTGTAACACCATTTAACCACGAATTAAATATAATTTAAAATAAGTAAATATTATAAAAACATGATATTTCAAAATTAAGTTTTATAGTAAACCCAATTTTACTATATTTACATTATAACTAAATCTATAATTCCTAGTCAAAAGGTGACACAGTTTGACCAAAAAAATCAAACTGTGACAACGTTTTAGAGATGGGGGGAGTAAATAAAATTTCAAAAATAACAAATAGTTACAAAACTAAATAAATATAAATAAAAATATAAAGATATATAAAATTTTGAGAATGGGATTGGAAAATCAGCGAATCTATATGATCTCTTCAATTGTTCAAGAAATCTGGACTCAAGTAATGAATAGGAAATAAGGACGATGTCTCTCTCAGGAAAATGAATTTCTTCGTAAGTAAATGAAAATTATTTTTCTATTTTTGTGAGAAAATATTGAAAACAAACTTTTTCTTACCACTTATATTATCTAATGTACGAAATTAAAATTAAAATTTTCTAGTGAAATATTTTTTCCACCAAACAAACAGACCTTATGATTATATCCAAGTGTAATTACTTTAGTGAGAGGGAGATATATGCCTCTTCAAATGTTAAGGCATGGAAGAAAAGCCCTTATTAATGACATATTTTATCCATCTCTCTTTGTCACTTATATTTTTACACAAATATAATGCTTCATTCACTTAGCTTTTTGTACATTTATGAAGGGATGAGCAAAATTCACAACAATTCGAAGGTATTACACTTGTCAAAAAGGAATGTACAAAAACAGTAAGAAAACTCAAAAAGAAAAACTGAACAAAGAGATTGGGAAAGAGAGTGTGGGACAGAGGGAGCATTATCCTTTTGTCCCAAATTATTTGTCATAGTTTGAATTTTAATTTGTACTCCTTACCTTCCATTTGAATTTTTTCAGTTCGCGTTATGATGTTTGACTAATTTATTTTCAATTTATTTATTTAATTACAAGTGTAAATTTAAAAAATAAAAACGATACTCCGTAGATATTAGAAAACTAGATGTGAAATGATTATTTTATGTTATCAAATGAGTAATAAAATTAGGGAATTAATGTATATAATGTTTGAATCTATGAATAGTGCACATAAAGATTGATGAAGTGAGACGGAGGAAATATCAAATGTTTAAAACTTATTTTATTTAAAGATTGACATAGAAATTAAAAATAAAACTAACACTTTTAGAAACTATGTCAAAAGTTTTAGAAAATAAGAGGTGATAAAAACATTTTATTTTATCAAATAATCAATCAAAATATACAAATAAACAATTTTTTTAATAGTATAGAGTGCAATTCATTTTCGGAAAGGAAGGAGTAAATAAAGGAGAATGCTACATGTACTACAAAATTTGTACACCATTTGTACACCAAAGGTATGCACCAATAATTTGATGGTTCACACTGACACAAAATGTTGGTGCGTTAACAAAAATTTACACTGACACAAAGTGTTGGTGCATTAACAAAAATTAATATTACACCAACACAAAATGTTGGTGCATCCCTGCGGTGTACAAAAAGGGATATAAATTCTTGGGGTAGAAATAACATTTTCGGTAAATAAATGGTTAGACCAAAAGAAAGAACATTTCATATTATCAAAGTTAGGTTGTTAATAGAATTGAGGTTTGTCAAACAGACAGAAAATCACTACCACCCCAGCTCAGTATTGACCGGTCCAAATTGGGGCAGTTATAGTAACACTAGTTGGCCAAATAAACGCCAAGCATCTCCATCAAGATCAGCCGTCTATTCAAGACAAAGCATGTTGGATTCAGATGCAAAGTCTAATAATGGGTCTTTCAAAGACAACTCTCCCACTGGTTATGGTGAACGTTCTGAGGTGAGACACCCTAAAAATGAAAATGATACTTCTTGCATGCCACTAATTTTTTTACACTTGCTCAAATAGTTTTCTCTTACTTTTCTTAAGAAGGGGGTTAGGGGGAGGAATTGTAAATTTTAAGTGCTCTAAATTTTAATTGATATAGCAATTAACTGGTGTCATTTTAGACGTCTTTTAATACAAAATGCATTACTTGTCAAATATTTTTAAGAAGCTGGTGCTGTAGACTGTAAATAGAAATTGTAAAATAATTGATATATATTTAGCTATTTGTTACTTGTTGAAACAGGCCCGGAATCTCTACCGTCCTGACTCAGAATCAAACAAGTCAAACTGGGGTTCTAGGCCTAATTGGCCGAATAGCCGCCGGGCTTCCCCACCCCCACCCAGATCACCCGCGCATTCAAAACAAGGTACCACAAGCTCAGATAATACAATGCCTGATAGGGTTTTCCAAGATAATCCCCCCACTCGTTATGGTGATCATTTCGAGCCTAGTCGTCGTACGCATCATTTCGTAGGGGAAGAGCAAAGACAACAAGATAGCCCACCACTCAAACAGCTTGAGAGATTGGACATTAAAGACAACAATAGCCAAGGATCAAGCCCAACTCAGAACACAAGGTCTGGTTCCACTGAAGTTGTGAAGAATGAAAATATTGAGGTGATTCACTCTAAAACTGATACTTCTTGCCTGCCACTATTTTTTTTACACTNGGTTTAAGAGGGGTTAGGGATAGGAACTGTCAATTTTACAAACAGAGCACGTAAATGCTTCTATTGAACTAGTGTCGCGACTGGTTTCGCAATTGACGACTAGTTCCATTTAGATGCCCTCTAATACAAAATGTAGTCATTGTCAAACATTTTTTAGAAGCTAGTACTAGAGACTGTAAATGTAAAATGTTAATACACTCATATCAACTCAATATTGCTTGTCAAACAGGCCCAGAATCTCTACCGTCTTGGCTCAGAATCTAACAACCCAAATTTGGGTGCTAGGCCTAATTGGCCAAACAGCCGCCACGCTTCTCCACCCGGATCACCCATGCATTCAAGACAGGGTACCATAAGCTCAGATAGTACAAAGCCTAATTTCCAAGACAATTTCCCCACTCCTTATGGTGACCGCTTCGAGCCCAGCCGTCCTACGCATCATTTCGAAGGGGAAGAGCAAAGACAACAAGATAACCCACCAATCAAACAGCTTGAGAGATTGGGCACTAAAAACAACAACAGTCAAGGATCAAGCCCAAATCAGAATATGATGGATGCCTACATGGCAAGGTCTGGTTCCACTCAAGTTGTGAAGAATGGCAATGGTGATTCCCTTGTTAAGGACAATGCCCTCCAGGTTAAGGACTCCAAAAACCAGATGGGTAATCTTGATGATGGCTCCAACTCCACAAAGGAAAGCTCGAGTGAGATGGCGACCAAGCCAAGATTCTTTGGAGGGTGGTACAAACCCTCAAGGGGAACGCAAGGTGGTGGTAGCTCTGGCACTACCACCACAAAGCACTGGAGCGAAATCACTCCAAATCCTCCGGTAGGACCGATGACCATACCTCCTCTAGTTGAATCGCGGGAAGCGATGAGGCGATATGCGTATGTGAAGCCGACAATGGCAACCGGGTACTATGGAGCCATCACGAGTGAAGATGCTGTGAGAAAGTATGGTGGCTTCTTTGTCCCTCCAAGTTAACACATTTATTAGCTTACATAGTTTCTAAGGAAAAAAAAGATGGTAGTGCTCCGATCCTTGTGTGTATTAGCAGTAAATGTGAAACGGAGTATATATATTACTATAGAATAATGGTGGGTCATGATGATGTTAGACAAAATAAAAGTATGTGATATGATGCTATTATAAATGTGATATGCTACCCTAAAATGATATGATATGTGATGTTATAATAAATGTGTTATACTAGCTAGTACTTACTAGTTGTGTATGTCTCTATGTTGTTTTTATAATTTTCGACCAAATCTTTATTTTTTTATTTTTCACTTAAAATTTTGACATATTTCTAAATGTGGAGGGGTTATTTTGTCAATGGATTACAATGTGGTATTACGACACAAGGTCTCTATTCAAAAATTTGATTGATCTTATTCATATGTTCTCGGCAAATCCCATAAGCTCGAACCCCAACAACCCCGAACCACCTCTAATTCTATTCCCAAAATTTGCTCTTTGGAGTCAAATGGTGGAGTCCAAATATAATTAAAATCTCACATTTATTGCACCATTAGATAACATTAACAAACACAAATACATGAAAATTCATGCCAATTCATCCATACTACAATATTGTATTTAACAAAAATGTTTTGACTCAAAGCGAGATAATTTTTCCCCAAATCCAAATATATAAGCTATCTGACCCGTTAAATACTTCGTATAAAATGAGTGGATAAGAGGAGTATATTGTAGTGTATTTGAAAACATTTTTAATGTAAGTTTAAACTCTGTATACAATCTTAACTACATAAAAATGAAAAACCTACGACGTCCCACTAAACATGGACAGTCCCAACTCAATATTTTATCTCTTTTTTTGTTTCACTCGAAATGGAATCCGAGACGAGACTCGTCATTGGACATGCTCTAACAAATGACAAATGTGGGTTCTTAAGTAGTCACTAGGAATATGTACAAGAGTTTTTAAACTTAATGGCCACATTCATCTTCTTTGGCTCCACAACAACAGAGCATTGTACCTTTTTATAGAACTTGGGCTTCACCAGCTTGCCCAGCACGTAAGCCCTTGCTCTCAACTTGAATCTCAGGGTCAATGGGACCCTCGCCGTCGGCTTTCCGTCTTTGCTCGTCAAGTCGGCTCCCCCACCGTATAACGGAATCCCACTTCCTCTTAACGTCACCGTTAGTGACCTCTGACTCTTTCTTGACTGATAAAACTTGTTAATCTGGCAAAACAACGTTAACAAAAGGTTTCTTTCTCAGGAAAATTATTCAAAGATGGAAAGACTAGATTGGAGATGTCTATTAATCTACCTAAACTCTTTATTTAATACAAAAATTGCAAGTGCATTCAAATGAACAAACATAAAAAAAACTTTAGTAAAAATGAATTATTAAAATACAAGAAATGCTTATCAATCTGAGTTTAAGGAGAATTAAAAATAATCAAATTAAGTACAATCCACATATAATAAAAACTTGAACTGAATTTTCAAAATAAACATATCATTACTTAATAAAAAATGGTTCATATATTTATAATATATATATATATATATATATATATGTTTGATTTGTGATGTTCGATATGGCGATATGAATAGTTGAATCGTAAATCTCCCGAAACCCAAACTGATTGTTCGGTTTGTGTTCGGTTCAATTTTTTAATTCTTCTTTGAATCATAATTTTCAATTTGATTCTCACAATTTTTTCGTAAAATTTTGGTTTTGTTTGGATACTTGCTCACCTTATAGCCCACCTGTTAAATATGTTAGGGTCCGTTTGGTATACAGAATTGATAGAATTGGAATTGAATTGGAATTGAAATTTCATGGGATTCAATCCCATAGAATTGAATTCTGCCAATTCGAATTCATTTTTTGCACTATCAATTCTAAATCCACATAATTTTTGTGCTATCAAACACCAAAATTGAAATTCCAATTCCATAATTTGAATTTCACGTACCAAACGGGGCCTTAATATATTTAATATATTACTATTTATATTTGATAGTTACCTTTTGTATAAATGTGCACTTATACGCTCCTACCCTCTTTAGGAGTAGACATCTAGTATATATATGTACACATGTAACTCTTACTGTTATGATTGTCAAATAATAAAACTCTTCATTGTATGAGAGACATCTATTTGGTAGTTACCTTTTGTATAAGTTTACATTTATACACTCTTACCATCTTTTGGCACTAACGGTTTGGCCACTGCACCCTAGCGCTACAGTTCTCCTTGGAGTCCCTAGTCTTTTACCATTACTTAACAAATGCAATCTGGATAATTTATATCATGCGTGTCAACTGAGGAAACATGTTCGTCTTCCCTTTTATCAGTCTAGTCATTTCTCTTTTTTTCCTTCTCAAGTTTTACATACGAATTTATGGCAATCCCCCATTCCTAGTGTAACTGGTTATCAACATTATATGTTATTTCTTAATGATTATTCTCACTACCTTTGGATTTTTCCTTTACCCAAAAAATTTGATGCTTATTCTCATTTAACTTCATTTATTGCTTATGTTAAAAATCATTTTAACACAACCATTAGACTTGTTAACGTGACAATGACATTGAATATCGAAACCCCCCTTGCAATCTATTTTCTCTTCTCTTGGCATTGTGTTCTGTTTCTCCCGTCCTCACACCAGCCAACAGAATGGCCAGGCTAAGCGCACCATACGTAGTATTAACAACACCTTTTAGACCTCACTCTTTCAGGCCCACCTCCCACCAACTTTCTGGGTCATGGTTCAGATGACCGCTCACCTCTTCAACATACATCTGAACACCCCACGAGGTCCTCCCCCACCTACGTGTATTTGGTTGCCTTTGCTACTCTAACATTTCAGCCACTGCCACCAACAAATTAGCATCTCGCTCAGCTCGGTGCATTTTTCTCGGTTTTCCATCTTGTGCCTTGAGCTTCAAACTCATAAAATAATCATCTCTCGACACGTAGTCTTTGATAAATTATTTTTAACTTTACCCATTTTGTACTCTGAGACAACTACCCCTCTCTTGATTCCGCGGAGGACGATCACCTCCCTCACTATTGACATTCCCTCCCACTTGCCCAACCACCACACACGGCCCAAACTCCACCTCCGGCCCAAATACCTCCCTCAGCCCAGCATCCTGCCACGGCACAAACATTCCCTCCTCACTCGCCCCCTCACAAACCTGAATCTACGGCCCACTCTCACCTCACGACCCACTCTCCGATCCCCCACCCAACATTTCCATCCGCACCTCCATAGCCTCAAACAACCTCTAATAATCACCCTATGGTCACCCGCCCCTCATAAACTCTAGCTGGATACCTCAGTCTCGGTGGGTTTTCTGGCGGGCAGACCGTCATCGTTAGAATCCTTGTTTTTCTATGATGGGAGTTTGTGGATGGTGCCACCGGGAAGCAGGGCAAACTCCCTTGGGACGGAAGGAGTAATATGTACCTCCTCAAATGTAAACCACTCTATCCATTTTTATTTATTTATTTCTTTTTTATTTTACATGCCAAATATGTGGTAATAGAGGAGGTGATGTACATTTGAGGTTAGTGTACCCTAACATTTTTGGGAGTAATATATATACACACATGTAACCCTTAGTTTATACTCCCTTCGTCCACAAATAATCTTTACTATTCACATGGTCAAACTTTATTCATTTTATTAGCTTATTTTCGTTGTTCATTTGATAAAATAATATAATCATGTCACATCTAGTTTTACAAATCTTTTTGATGTAAACACTAAATTGATTTGAAAATAAATTCAATCAAATATTGTAATGCACAATGAGAAATAATTATTGGAGGTGTCAAATAATAAAACTCTTCACCACAAAACAAAGTAGCAAGTTTGTTTCTAAAGGGATTTTCAAGGGAAAAGGGCAAAGCAAACGTACCGTTCCTGTTGCGAGAGTGAGGTCGGAAAATGAGAGATCCAACGGCGTTGACGTTACGTGCACCCCGAAAAAGGTGCCCTCGTTACGGAACACGATCTTGACCGTTGAGTTGACGGTCACCATCTCCGTCGCGACGCCGGAGTGATCCATTCCGGCTTGAACCGCAAATTGATTGAACGAAATACTCTGCAAATTAGAGTTCACAGGTTTCTGAGATTTCTTCATTTATATACGAAGATCAAAACAATTGAATTCAATTCACGACGACGAATAATCTCTGCTCGCCTTCATCGTAATTACGGGGTCCTGATTGCGGCTCACGCCCCACAGGATCAAAGCGAAGAACCCGAAGAGGACGAAAAACCCGACTACGAATGCCGGGAAATAGCACCGGCGAGGAATTCCCGACCGGCGGACACCGTCGTCGAGAAGTCCTTCTTCTTCGATGGCGTCGAACTCCTGCCACTGCTTCTCCGCCTTGCGGGCATCGCGGTGGTGGCGGCGGCTACTGTTGGTGGACTTCTGGGAGCCCGGTTTGAGGGAACCGGAGAACCGGGTGGAGGAGGAGGAGTCCCCCCGGGACTGGCGGCCGGGGGAGGCCATAGGGCTGAGAATGGGGGTGGAGTGGAAGGAGTTTGTGGTCTTTTCGCCGTCATGGGAGTCCCGCGACGGGCTCTGGACGTAGTAGACCGGCCGGTTCGGTGATGATGGCGCCAAGCTCGTTCCTTCGGAATCCGTCTTGGTGTGATGATGGTGATCAGTAGACATGTTTTCGCCCAAATCTGCAGAGAGAAAGAAAAGAGAAAGAGAGATTGCAGAGTTGAGTTGAAAGATTAGAACCGATCTGAGCTCAACGTTTTGTGGTTTTTGGTGGGATGTGAATAATGATGATGAAAGCCTACAAAGTCCAACACGGGCCATGTTCCCACTCTTCTTTGTTCGTTTTTTTTTTAATTTTGAGTACTTCCTCCCTCCCATAGTATTTGTCCACTTTCATCTTTACACATCATCCAATACATTTCTTTAATCCATTTTATCTTGTAATTTGTATATTAAAAAATTATAAAAATTATATATTAATAATCTATATGTTAAGACAAATCAAACAAGATCACACATGATTATATTTAGGCTTACACATTGAGAGAATTTAATGAGTCAAAGTTCTTAGATGAACAGTTCCAAAAGTCAAAAGTGAACAAAAACTGGGGACGAAGGGAGTACAAGTTTGTATAGTAATAATATGACACTGTATATAAACATTTAACAATATGTTTTTATATTATATATTGACATATTTGGCATTTTATTTGCATTGTAACTGTTTCAAATTTGAAAACAAAAACACTGAACATCTATTTTTAGACATTTTCTATGTTTTACTTCTAGTTTAGTTTTTTTCGATTTTGTTAATAAAGACGAGAATAAAGATGTGAATGTTATAGTAAACCTAAGGTCCATACAATCTTTTATGATATGAGGGTGGTAAATAAAAACTTAATGTTTTGATAGCACGTTCTTTTGTAAAACGTCATTTAAAAAGTTAAAAATGAATTGTTTAATGTAACACGTACTTCAACTTACGTAATATGAATAAATGAGTTAGTGAACTAGATTTCACTAAATTGATACTCATATGACAATTAATTCAAAATATTTATACCAAACCACTAATGAAATTTAAGCATAAGTTTATCGATCAAAATAAATAGTCAAAGTTTCACTAAATAGCAACGACGTTTAGTTAGCCAATTCATATTAAGAATAAAGTCAATTTTCTTGTATGGTATTTCAATGAGGTTTTGCAAGGAATTGTTGCTTAAAGAACGATTTTTATTCACATGATATAATCGCATATTGTGCCGTAATGAGTTAGACATCAAAATGAGATACTTTAGATAACAAAGTTTATTAATTCTATACATTCGTCTTTGAATCAGCGATCAGATCGTGTTGAGTCCACACGAAGATCTTCAACACTGAATTCACAGATGTTCTTCGAAATATCAATATTAATTGTTTCTTCAGGATCCTCTTGTTCTCACGCAGATAAATTTTCACTTTCATTATTCGGGATGCAATAAACACATTGGTATCAGATCAAAGAGTCTTATCTTAGAGTTCATCTAGATATTCTAAATAATCATCAATAATTTGCAAATGGGTGTATCTTAGAATAATCAGCGAGGTTTAATCATAAATAAATCATATAAATCAATAATAACTATCATAATACCCAATAATAGATAGCGGCCTAGCCTCGAGTGTTAACACCCTAGCTTACCGTCATGCATCAAACAAGATTTTATTTGTCAAAAATATCATTTTAAATTCAATATATCATCTTTAAATTGATCATAATTAATTGGTACTAAAAATAGGATTTTATAGCTCCAAAAATAGCATTTTCGGACTTAAAAATGTTCGGAATGGTCAACCGTTGGGTTCGAATGGTCGACCGTACCATTCTGGAAAATTTTCTCGACAGTACCTAGAGACGGTACCTTGGTACCGTTTAATCGGTATGCGTCTACCGTGAAACGCACAAGAGGATTGAAACTACTATTCATCATCTTCAAGCTTCGGCCCACTTTTCTCAACTCCATATTAGGTCACCAAACTTTAACTAAACTATATAGAAATGTTCTCCAAGATTCGTAGATCATTTTAGAAGCATCAATTTGAAATTTTAACAACATATTCAAGGTTTATGATTCTTGATTCTTTAAACAAGTCAAACACAAAACTCAACTAAACAACCGTTTATGAATGTAGGACCGATCTATATGAATATTCTAGTCATTATATATATCTATGGGCTTACCTCGAGCTTAAATGGAAGTTTAAGAAATTTTCTGGTGAAACTTCGGGTGATGATTACTCTCAACTTCGGTGACTTCTCACCAAATTAAATTGAGAGCACAATAACATTCCTTACATACACCCTCAAGAACATAATAGAAGAAGAAATAAAGAGAATGATGAAGAAATGAGAAGAATTGGTTCTCCTTTTATTGGGAACAAGAGGATGTACGTAACAAAGGTTGTTGAGTCAAGCTTCCATTTAACGATCCGCATATCTCTTAGTGGAGGAGGAGTCGCCGTTACATGATTGGACCAATTTTGGTTCCAGTCGGAGTACACTTTTTTGTCCAATTTTATTCGAATTGAATTATGTTCTCATTGTTGCGATCGGATAGTCGATTTCTATTCAACGATATAATTTTTATATTTATTGGTAATACTTTTTCCGACATCATATTTTTGGGTATTTGGCTTCGACAAAGTCAAAATTGATTTAGTTGACCTTTATTCGGAAAGGTTCTCACATTTAATTTATATTAAGATTAATTTAAATAAATCATTTTAAAATTTCACATCATAAACAAAGACTTTATGTGGGTCTGTACTCCAGTTCACAATTAAGATTACACATAAAATCAACATATGAGTTCTTTTTATTCTTCTTTAATAAGAAAAAATAAATGGTTGATCAAAAAAAAAAAAAGAAAAAATAAATGGAGAAATAATGAGTTGTTGTTAATGTCAGATACACTAGATGGTTACCCTAGATATAGTTGGTCATGACGTCATGTGCTCGCGCAAGTATATCTACAAATAACTCCTCCAAAGAGGTGAGAAGTGATGTTTGAATTCTATCTGTATTCTATATATTTTTCAAATTCTACATGGGTTCTACAAATTGTTTAAACTCTATATAGATTCTACAAAAAAATTAACCAAATTCTACATGAATTCTATAAATTTTTCAAATCCACTAACTTTTTGAAATTTAAAAAAATCCAATAAAATTATAATTGAATACGCCTCCCTTAGACTCTGTTGGGCACATAGAATCCAAGTCATTTAATTTAAATGGGACGTGTCAATTCAGATTTTGTTGTTTGGTAGGATAAAAAATGTGAATTTGAAATTGGTAGTACAAAAATGTAATTAAAATTGAAAAATTAGATTTCATCAATATAATTCCATATAATTTTAATTAATATTTCTTCTATTTCATGTAAAAAAGGACCCTTAATTTGTTTCAAAATATTTTCTAATTTTTTCTAACATTTTTTTTAATTTTTTTCGATATGCAATTGAGAAACTATATATTTCCTCCCTTTTTTTCTCCCTATAAAAATGTCAAGATTGGAGTCGTGGACGGCCAAAGCCCCAAACAGTTGGACAGGGAGGTCAAAGTTGGGTTGGTGAGTGAGGAAATATTGACCAAAAATTAAGGTAGTCTGTCTACTTAAACAAGGTAGTCTGTCAGTTTAACCGTAAATATTCCCCTCATTTCGCAATACTCCGTATTTTTTTTTTCATTTCAAAGGAAACTCATACTTCATTTTTCTAAAACAATTAAAAATATTTATCCCAAAATTTATCTCTGATTTAAATAAATTTAAATTGTACTTCGTTGTAGTCTTAATACTATATTTAAATTTAATGAAAATCAAATCTTTTTTAGAAAACTAGAAGAAACACGTAACTAAGATCAAAACATTATCCATATACTAAAATAAAATTCACAATGTTTTTAATATTTTACATAATGCCAAATAATGTCAAAACATATTGTATAATTAAAAATAATATGAAATACCAATATATCTTTGAATAAATTCATATTTTAGTCTTGGGTAAATTCCGCAGATAAGAAACACTCTAAATAGAAGTAAAACACAGAGAAAGTACCAAAATTTGGACTCCATGTTTTAGTCCTAAAATAGGAGTTTAAATTGTGATAATATCGCACTGCATATGGACATTTCACAATACTTTTTGGTGATGTATATGATGATGATTGCCACTATACTCTTATTTCGAGAATAAAAATATAGAACTTTTATTTTGGTATATTTTCAATGTGTTATTCCTACTCTACTTTTTTTTCCCTTCGTAGATAATATATACCGTGTACAACAAGTTGTACAGTGTTTCTCGCACATCCGCGACGAGTACTCATTTTCAAATAAAAGAGAACTCATTTTGGAGTAATTAAATATACATTTTTCTAAAATTTTGTTATGTTCAAAAATAAATGTGTAGTAACTTGAAAATGAGTATTCATGTAGTGGTACGAAAAAGACGGAGCACGCCAATGAATGATATGTGTAGTCTCTCCTACACCTTTTAATTAATGACATAGTTTCAACCACTCTCACCAACCCCCAATCATATTTGCAAGAGAAGTCCAACACCCAAAGACCATCTACTTTCCTTTATATATATACTAGTATTTCTACCCGTGCAATGCACGGGTTCGGACGAATATCTTATCGATTTTGAGTTTATTCAATGCAATATTTTTTTCCTGAGTAAAGGAAATATACCTCATGCATGATTTATAATAACACAAAAGAAAGGCAAAGTAAAAAGAATAATATTTGAGGAATTGAATCTACACACAACAAAGTTTGCTTTAATACCAAATTTTTTGAAAGATTTCAGGGTATACAACATTTTTTGTATGGCTGCAAGGATTTCCATTGTCATCTAAGACTAATATTTTTAATCATATCTTTGTCTTCACTCGCGAAACAGCAACATAAAGCTGACCATGAGTGAACACTGACTTTGTTAAAAATAATCCAACAAATGACAATGTTTGACCTTGACTTTTGTTTATAGTCATAACAAAACATAAGACTATTGGAAATTGTCTTCTCTGGAACTTTAGAGGTAGTCCTGGATCAGACGGAACCAAATTCATCCGGGGTATGTAAACTTTTTCGCCCACTCGATTTCCCGAAACCACAATAGCACCAATAACATTCTTTCGCATCTCGTCAACAATTAATCTTGTACCATTACACAATCCAGATGTTTGGTCAATGTTCCTCAGTAACATAATTGGTACCCTTTTTTTAAAACTATCCTGTGGTTTGGGATTCCCGAGCATTTGATTTCATTCAAAAATTCAACTGTTATCCAGTCGTCATCAACACCTACATCTGAATCTGCTTGGCATGATGAATCAGAACTCAAGTACACCAGTTCGTCTCCGGGAATGAGGGATAAGACAAATTCATTTACCATTTCTACAACTTCGAGCGTGGGTGCTAGTAGTGCCCTGTCTTCAAAAAAAGAATAACTTCTCATATTCTCCAATAAGTTCGGATAAGTAAAGTCCACTATACTTTTGAGGGGTGAGTTGTTATCTATAATCAAAAATTCGAGAGGAATTTCAACGTCAGCAGTTCCATCAATAACTTGTCCAAGCTTTCCATCTCCAACTTTGATTATCCAATGAGAAAAACTTGAAGAATTAATGAATGCAATCTCATATTCTTCGTCAATTTAAAAACTTTACAATAAGACCACAAATTTGAAGAATTAATGGTAGCACCTACAATTTCCTCTCTCGAAGCTCTGGGTAAAACTGGAAGAATTTGTCTGAAATTACCTTCGAGTACAACCGTTTTCCCTCCAAAGTCCAAATGGTTCATTTATTAAGTTTGGATTAGAGAACTTCATTAGATCTCTCATCGTGCGATCCAATGCCTCAAAAGCAAATCTATTCATCATACATGCTTCATCCCATATGATTAAACTTGCATGTTGAATTAGTTCTGCTTTTGGGTTCCCTTGTTTGATGGCACACATTGAGCACTCTGTTAGCGCCAAAGGAATTGAAAATCTGGAGTGTGCTGTCCTTCCCCAAGGCAAAAGCAATGCTGCAATCCATTGGATGCGACATTCAAGACAACTTTACCACTTGATCTTAGAGAAGCAGACAAATATTTTCAAAGAAATGTTTTTCCAGTTCCACCGCAACCATACACAAAAAAGAATTCTCCTTTTCCAGCAGTCACAACTTCCATTATTTCATCGTATATCTTTCGCTGATCTTCATTCGTCGTAGATAAGTATCCCATAAGATCAGATGACAACTTTTCTTTATCATAGTTCAACTCCTCAACCAACAAATTGTTTTGAAATGTAATGAGTGGACTGTCATTGGATGAGGTATTCATAACTGGATTGGACAATAAGACACTTGGGCTGAACCGCATTAAAAGATTGAATCCAATCGATTAATTAGTTCAATTCGAGAGCTTATATACCGATTATTTTACTCTTGGATTTCCGATTTGGGATGTACTCTAACAGTATGTAAAGATGATGGTAATGATTATTGTTATTATTATTAGTATTATTATTATTATTATTATTATTATTATACAATAATTATATACTTTTTAAAAAAATATTTAAACATCAATCATTAAGTTTTTCCGTTTGTTTTTTCAAGGGATCACAATTTGAGTATCATATTTTATAAATAAATTTCAAACACATATCTTCTTAAATTTTTTTCATGATTTTTTATTTTATTTTTTGGCAAAGATAAGGTATGTGTTATGTTTAAAAAAAATGTATTACCTGATTCCTTTCATATTTTTCTTGCTTTTCAATTACAAAGTATACATTCTATTTTCAAAAAGTTTTCTTTTAAAATCAAATTTGTATAATTCTATTTTATTGTAAAGAAAAAAGTATTGTGATATGATTTATTTTTCTCTTTTTTATTAATTTTAAGTAATCCTGTACATCGGTCGGTTCAAGAGTGTATAAGTATTTGAAAAAAAATATGAATGATAAAGACGTTAAAATTTTAGGTGTGCATGATTACCTATTATCACTTTTTTTTCAATATAAAACATATGCTATGTATTAAACATTGTGTTTGACATATGTTCATGAAAAAAAATATTCTTCATTCATTTATTCGAAGAGTTAAGAAAAAATGACCTAGAAAACATACTATATAATTAAGAAGACAACTTTATACCATAGAGCAAAAACGTTGAAGTATGAATGATTTTCTTAAATCCAAGTTAATTATATTTTATTGAATACCTCTAACTATTAATTCACTTTTAAAAATTCTAAATTAGTTACCTATAAATTATGATAACATTTGTAAAGAGGTGTTTAAATCATATGTCAAGAGATGCAAATTTAATTAAATTTAAGATATTGAATTGAACAATCACAAACAATTGAACTCTATGGAATTGTTTTAGTATGACATAAAATCCTTACGTATCTCAATACATAGCAAAATATGATTATTTATTGTAAACTCAATAAAACTCATAATCCAAAACCAACAAACACAATTTATTATCAAAGTTTACCATAATTCATCAAGTATTAAAAAAAACTTAAAGTATTTCATTATACTCCAACGACCAAATAATAATGACGATTAATTTTTTTCAATCTTAATACTCCTCATCTTGTGGACGGACTCATCTCCATCTCCAATGTTAGATGACTCGCCTTGCATTCTTTTCATGGGAGTAAGATTGACCACATCATCTCCCGATTGTGTTAGACGACTTTCTTGAGATTCCACAAAATCCACTATTAAATTCTGTAAGAAAAAAGACAAAGAAGACATATACACTATGAATAGTTCATAATATAATTAATCATGATTGCTCTTATGAATTAAAAGATCATAAAACTTGAATTTAAGATTGCACCTCAAGTGTAAAGAATAAAAAATAATGTAATTGTTATGTCTTGAATTTCAATACCTTTATGCAAGAAGAGGCCTTGTCAACTGAAATCACTTGTGTGTTAGTCTTCCTATCAGTTGAATATCCGATGGTCTTATCAGTCTGCAATAAAGAAAATATAAATATGTTATCAACCATAAATATACCATCGTTGAAGAGAGAAACACAATGAACTTTAAGTTAGTGTTTTAATTCCAAACCTGAGGAGAGAAAAATGTAGAGTGCAACTCCTTAAATTTTGCAATGACCCGGTCATTAAAGCATATGTCATTAACATTGTAAAAAGGTTCAAACTCATTGAAGCTTGCGGTCCTAACCTCAACCTCGAAGATAAATGACTTATCTAGCAGCATTTGATTGAACACATCTGATTGTTCACTTCCTCCTTAGACATTCTTTATAGGCAAACAGGAACATTACTCCAGGCTAGATATCTGTTTTGACAGCAAGTGCGCATTTTTTTTTTAAATCTCACATACCTTTTAAGCTTTGCATACATACAGCATCGATGAAATAAGTTTTTTATTAGTTTTTCAGTACTTAGGGGCTGGAGAAACTGCAAGAATCTTTTACTTCCAAACCGATTCTTCATTTATTTATTCAATATGGGCAATTGAAGAATTTTGGTTTTTTATACAAATTAGTATAATTGTGTTTTGAAAGTAAAAGCAAAATAATCTTCCATCCACTAAAAAATTATAAGAAATCCTATTAAACATAAATTTTATATTGTATGCAAAATACGAATAAGAGTACAATTCTTACATGTTCGTCCATGAATATCATCTCAATCGAATTCGTCATCTTCTCATCATTATACACTGGCATCTTGTACAGTCGAATCACACGAACCAAAACTCTCCAGCATTCACTTGATTGATTGATCTTCAATAAAGGGTGAATCGGTTTGGAAGACATGTCAATTAATAAGAGGTTTTAGGTATGAACGCGCCTTACAATGAAAAAATATATTGATAAAATGGCTTACTTAAAATTTGATTTATATATGACCTAATATAAATCGCAAGAAGGAAATTAAACTTATAGCAATAAGGGTAGAAAATCCAGAGATTTGAACCGGAAAATTCGAAAGAAGAATAAATTTCACAGAGACTAATCATCATAAGAAGGAAAGAAGGCCAATCATCCCAAAAACAATTATGATTTTTTAAGAAAAGGGAAAGTTACCTATTCTTGGTACTGATCGTTGGAATCTCCGTGAAGAAGGACCGTGAAGAAGGAAAGAGATTAATTCCAATCACATATTCTTTGAAATCTCACGGTGGAGCCATTCGAAGATGAATATCGCAGGGAGGTGCAATCGAAGGAAAGTGCCGCTGATGTCTCGCTTCATTCAGACTTGCGGATGAATTCCACACAGAGTAGCCCAAATAAAAGAAGCCCAAAGTAATGAATCATTATCCAACCCGTTTGAAATATTGAGTAAGTCCAATATAATGACATGGCTTATGAAGTGTCAAAAAAAATCCCCGTCAGCATGACAAATGTCAAAATTCTGGGAGTTAAACTCCCAAATATAATATATAAAGGATATATATATAGGCAAGAGATGTATGTGCATCATATATCTGAATTGATTAAGCTCATATAGCTTCTTTATACTGGGGTACTTATAAAAAGATTAACCCATTAATTAGAAAAAAAAAACAGAGAATGGCAGGAAATGGAGAAGCAGCAGCAGGTAGACACCAAGAAGTTGGACACAAGAGCCTCTTGCAAAGTGATGCTCTTTACCAGGTAGTAATTAATTAGAAAAAAGCCTATATTAACCCCACTTTATTTTGACCCTCGTTTCCTTTGCAGACATTATAGACAGTCTAAAAAGAAGCTGAGATAGATTTCAGTTAAAAATGAAAAAAAAAGATAGTTCACATTATTTTTCAATTCTCTCCCATGCATAAATCCAGAGTCTGTTTTTGTTTTTTGGCATGCAGTATATTCTTGAAACGAGTGTGTACCCAAGAGAGCCTGAAGCAATGAAAGAGCTCCGGGAGATAACAGCAAACCACCCTTGGTATAGTATTATCCTTTTTTTTTTGCAAACAATATATATAATGCATTTATCCTATTTTGTGTCCACATACATATATAAAAATAATAATGTACGAGTAATATTTAATCAGGAACATATATATAGAATTATTGCACTAAATAGAACTAAAACTTAAGTCATTTCCCTAAATAGCACTTAAACTCTTTTTTTTCTAAATAACACTTAATAATGTCTATAATGTCCAATGATGACGAACATTCACTCGAATAATGACTAGTGGATAATGACTAAAAATGCTACATTCAGAAAAAACACATGTGATGCTATTTATGAAAAAATCATTATGTTTTAATGAGTGGCGGAGCCACATAGGGGCAAGTGGGTGCACCCACTGAATCAGGATAATTTGGTATATATGTATTGCTTTGATAGCTATTTTCCTTAGCAGACTTGGATAAATGCTTGCAAGTTTTATTTTAATTTTTTTAAAATAAAACTATTCCCTTTAATTTTTTATTCAAACTTTGACCCCACTATACCCAAAATCTGGCTCCGCCACTGGTTTAGTGCTCTCTAAGTAAATTTCCCATATAAATATATTGGATGCAGGAACATTATGACGACATCTGCTGATGAAGGCCAGTTTTTAAACATGCTTCTAAAGCTCATCAATGCCAAGAACACCATGGAGATCGGCGTTTACACCGGTTACTCTCTCCTCGCCACCGCCCTCGCCCTCCCCCGCGATGGCAAGGTACCTACGTACGCAATTCATCAGGAATTTCAATCCTTTTTTTTTTAAATATTAGAGTAGTATACAACTAACGTTTTTTTGATCAATATCAAATATTTCAGTATATATCGCGTTTGTGTGAGCTTAAAACATTTTATTTTCTGAATCTCTTCACAAATATTTCAGATTTTGGCTATGGATATCAATCGCGAAAACTATGAATTGGGTCTCCCCGTGATCGAGAAGGCGGGTGTGGCTCACAAGATTCAGTTCAAGGAAGGCCCTGCCCTCCCTGCTCTTGACCAAATGATTGAGGAGGTAACATATACTCCCTCCGTCCCGCTATATTCGTCCAGTTTTGACTTTTGGAACTATTCATCTAAGCACTTTGACTCATCAAATTCTCTCAATGTGTAAGCCTAAATATAGTCATGTGTGATCTTATTTGATTTGTCTTAACATATAGATTATTAATATATAATTTCTATAATTTTTTAATATATAAATTACAAGATAAAATGGATTAAAGAAGTGTATTGGATGGTGTGTAAAAATGAAAGTGAACAAATACTCTGGGACGGAGGGAATATTCAAATTGAAGCCACACTAAGTGTGTGATGTCATAATATGACATTGGATGTAAATTTCAAAAGAACCATTATTAACTAAATAAAAGTGATTGGTTGTTATGGTTGCAGGGGAATAGGCATGGGACATTTGATTTTATCTTCGTAGACGCGGACAAGGACAACTATTTGAACTATCACAAGAGGCTGATCGACTTGGTTAAGGTTGGGGGAGTGATCGGCTACGACAACACACTGTGGAACGGGTCGGTGGTGGCGCCGCCGGACGCGCCGCTGCGGAAGTATGTCAGGTACTACAGAGATTTCGTGTTGGAGTTCAACAAGGCCCTGGCTTCCGACCGCAGGGTTGAGATTTGCCAGCTCCCCGTCGGCGATGGAATCACCCTTTGCCGCCGCGTCTGCTAAAATTTCGGTGTTGAGTTCGCCGGCGTTACACTCGCATGTATTGTTGTTGCAGACATTTTATACAACTTTGTTGGCATTTTTCATTGTTCCGGAATGTCTATTGTACCTAATAAATACTCCCTACTTCCTATAATGTTCTTCCCGGTTCTGTTTACGAAGTTTGACCAACTTTATTTTTAATTCAATTTATTTGATTGTAGGTGTAAAATTAAAAAAATAAAATTTATATATTTAAAAACTACATCAAAAGTTTTACAAAACAAGTGGTGACAAAACTATATTATTTTATCAAATACCTAATGAAAATAGGTAAAGAAAGTGATTAAAGTTTGACCGTGTAAATAGTAAGTGGGAAGGACATTTCAGGACGGAGGGAGTACTCTCTTACCCAAATTATTTTTCTCACAATAATATCTTAAGAATTTTCAAAATAATTTTTAATAATAAAGCGATGAACATTATTTTTTTGTATTGTTTTACTATTTCAATAAACTAAAAATTCTAAAACATTAATAAATGTATAAAAATTAAAATTGGAAAGTGTGAAAGAGTACTATATGAAAAATGATATTAAAAACTAGGTGCAGAAGGAAAAATACAAACTTAAATACTTTTATTATGTAAGAATATCTATATTAATATAGTAAAAATATTAATATATTAAAAATATTAAAATATTAAAAATATTTTTATTTTAATTATAATTGACTGAGTCATTGACCTGGTTCAACCCGATCTGACCAGTTAACTCTTGACCCAAATGCTCGTTGGGTCTGATTTTCAGAACATTGCTGCTACCTAGATCTCTGATTTGGCAGAATAAATCGGTGATCTAAGAGGGGCGAGGGGAGTCAGGGGGCATGGGTGGGCTGCAGGGGTCAGGGGGTTTAGAGCGAGGGATAAGAAGGTACGAGCGACTGATTTTATTAACGCAGCATCGTATGTGTCCCGAGTCATAATATGACATCGATTTCCAAAGGCAAAAGAACTGTTGAGAACATGTTATTATGCTATTATAAACTAGAAAAATTAGTAATGATAATAAAACATCTATTTTCTATAACAATAAAGTATATTAAGTTCTCTTCAAATCTTAAACGAGATTAATAATAAAAGTTCAATCACATGCACAAAATTCTCATGTGGTTCATGTTAACTTTTATTTATTTTTTCAACAAATTTTTTTCTCACATATTTATTTCTTTACCTTCACCGTTTTGCATTTAATGAAAACACATAAAACTAAATTATTTTGTGAACAAAAATAATAATAAAGTATTAGTTGATGGACATATTATGTCCATATTCGTACTTTTTCTAGCAATACTTTAATTTCTACTTCTTTCATATTTTCATTCTCAAAGATAGTATCAAATGAATGTGCATTATGAGAATTCATTAGTCTTTACTCCTGGTATTTGAAATGACAGCTACTTAGGTTTTCCAAAACATATTTTTTTCTTTACAAATATATGGACGAATCAAGTGATAAATCCGGTGATAGGTTGAGTCACATCTTTCTTGTCTCTTATCCAATCCATCTTTCATCCATATTTATTCAGGTTTTTATTGTTACAATAAATCAGGTCAGGTCAGACAGATATTTGATAAGTCAATTAATATTCAATCAGTTCCGTCGGGTGGCGTAACACAATTGGCATGTTAAGGGGTGTTAAAGAGTAACTGTTCAATTCCTAGAAACTACTTATGATAAGAGGCTAAGGGGCTGTTTGGCAACTTCTGAATCGGTAAGTGCTGAACCAGTAAGAGGTCTGAACCATTAAGTGCTGAACCAGTAAGAGGTCTGAACCATTAAGAGCTAGTATATTGCTTAACTATTCAGAGGCAAATGTCTGATCAATTCAGATAAGAGGTCTTAACCATTCAGACTCTGTATAATATTTAATCATTCAGAGGTAAATCTCTTAACCATTCAGACATCTGAACCATTAAGAGGCTGAAACAAACAGTCTGAACCATTAAGTGCTGAACCATTCAGACATCTGAACCATTAAGAGACTGAAACAAACAGCCCCTAACTATGCTAAAGATTAGGCTTTAAACAACAACAACAAGCCTAATTTTAAAGATTAGGCTTTAAAATTTAATTTATAAAGACTTCATGCTTTGGTTTCTTTTAGTATTGAGTCAGTGGCGTTGTCAAGAAAAAAGAATGCGGGTAAGATCCCAATTCGATTTAAGTACAAGGGGACACTGTAGCTCATTTTTTTTAGTATTCAGTCGATCAGTCTATCGCAATTTGATAAATCCTTCCAGTCTTTATTGTCATCTTAAAGCCACTTATCGATATGATGAGCACTTGCAGCGCATCGGTGGCCGGTAATTCACGCGCCGCCCTCTTTCCCAGCCCTCTCTTTCGCCAATCCAAAACTGCTTTCAGATGTTACTCTTCTTCTTCTTCTTTGGGTACCGAAATTTCTCTAAGTTTCTGCAATTACTCAACTACTATCTATAGAAAGCATATTGGTTTTTTGTCTATGCAGTTTTTCTTGTGTTTCCATTCGTGTATCACTTCTTTTTGTTTTCAGTTTTATGGATGCATCTAAAGACTTATGTATGTGTTAGTGTGGGTATAGTGGCAGTCCAAACTTTTTGCTTGTTACAATAGAACAATATGCATTTAGGGGTGCTGGGATAACCCTCTTGGGACTATTTGGCTTCAAGTGTTGTTACCTTAAGTGGAATATCTCATATTAAGCACTCCATCCATCCCAAAATGTAGGTTAGTTTGGGAATGTGTGCCAAATTATGATTACTATTTTTTCTTAAATAACAAAGTTAAAAAAATTATAATTTTTATATTGTGTAAGTTATGATATAGAGTAGTTTCACACGAGTAATTTGTAAATTTTGACTATGTAAAAATTAATGGCTAAACTCTGGCACGAGTTTTTGTAAAAGTGCAACATCCTGAGATGGAGGGAGTATTTTATAGAGCCTTTTAATAAATTTGTATAAAGATGAACTTATCAGAATGTTCCTAAAACACTAAAACAAAGAATACGTAGGATCGCAAAACCATATTCCCGTCGCTAAGGACACCTAAGTAGGGAGTGGAAATGAACATCAATTAGAAACTCATTCTCAAAAGGGATAGTTTCATGTATGTTGTGTCATTCGTGCTGAAAAGGAGATTGATGGGCATGAAGCCCTTCATATCTGAGCAGGTTGAATGAAATGTAGGCTCGCGTCACGTGCCATGCGACAAGAAATGTTGAAGTGGATGTGTGGACGTACTATGTGGATGATAATATTCAAAATAAGGTCTGTGTGGCTTCTGCGGTGGCTTGATTGATGTTACTTTCAAAAGTGCAAGGAAGACATACCGAAGCTCTCGTGAGGAAGTGGGGGAGGCTGGAGATAGAGAAGTTGAAGAGGGGTAGAGCTAGATCAAAGAAGAGTTGGAGCGAGGTGTTAAAATGGACTTGTGGTTTCTTCAACTCTCCAAGGACATGGTCCAAGATAGAAGCGCTTGGGATCGAGGATTAAAGTTTTAGGGTAGGGCATAGGTAGGAGTTATTGTTTCTGTGTCTATGGATCTTAGGGCTTCCAAGGTTGGTTTGCCTTGTGGCCTTTTGCTTGTTGGTAGCTTTTCTTTTCTCTTATTTTTCTATCTGTACTTGTTGGATTGTGTTTGCGCCAGGGTCTTTCAGAACTAACCTCTCTACATTTCCTAACTAGGGGTTACTGTCTGTTTACACCCATCCCTCAAACCCTACTCATCAATTTTCTAGCCAAAATAGCTATTAGTATCAATCAATATCTTGAATATAAAAAATATTCAGGGTCCGTTTGGTATACAGAATTGATGGAATTGGAATTGAATTGGAATTAAAATTCCATAGGATTCAATTCCATAGAATTGAATTCACCAATTCCCATTCATTTTTTGCACTATCAATTCCAAATCCACATAATTTTTGTGCTACCAAACACCAGAATTGGAATTGAAGTCTTCAATTCCAATTCCATCGTTTGAATTCCGTGTACCAAACGGAGCCTCAGTATTTGGTTTTGTTTTAGATTATGAACATTATAAAATAACTATGGGGCGTTAAAGCCAAATTACAAGAATGCTCAAACCTTAAATTTTACAAAAATAAAAATGTAAAACTCATCAAATGAAATTGAGAACACTTTGTGAAACACCCTACAAATGAAATCGTTTTCAGTCTTTTCCATTAACAATAATTATTTTTATTTCAACTCATTTAAACGCTCAATAGTTATTTTTCAATCCATCTTTTCGGCAATGTGTTGCATTTCATTAAAATATATAACATATAATTTATTTCATTTTGGGATGCAAAATTTTTAATCATTAATTAAAATTTTTGCTTGTTTTGTTAATGAATCTTTCTCAATAGAAAAAATTATCATTCCATATCGTTGCTCTTGTGAAGCTTTGTTAATTGTAATTCGACTACACTCATGATGGGTTGGAAAATTAAAACAAAATCAGACATAGGAGGGGAATCAAGGGAAGGTGTCTAGTAAATGATGACTCAATAAAGAGGCGTCATTGGAAGAAACAAAATGCCGCCTTAGTCTTGGAGAATAGCAAACATAGCCCTTTTGATGTCACGAATATCCAAGAATGATGCATTTGTTTGACCAGGTGGACATTTTGGGATGTCTTGATATAGTATCATGAACAAAACAAACACATCCAAAAGAACAAGGCGGTTAAGGAAATTAGCTTGCAAGTAGGAAAGAGGGCGGAACACGGAGCTTGATTTTGAAGAATGGAAAGAGTCTGATTAACCCCAATGAAAAAAGATATCTTGGACGAATTGCCACTGATAAAATTGAGTACAATTGTGCAAGAAGATCGTCTGAGATGACAATTGGCATCTGCTCAATATTGAGTTGGTGTGTGGGAATGTAATAAGAGGGTATGTGTAGTATCCACTAAATGAGGGTTCTTACGCTTAGCAACACGGCAATACCATTTTGTAGAGGTGTCTGGACTGATGCAAGATGATTGATGAAGCATTCCATGAGTAGCAACAAATTGATTATATGGACCGGAGTGACTATGACCTTATTGTATGCTTACATTAGCTATTTTGCAACTAAAAAGGTTAGCGAGAATTGCAATTCCATAGAACACCTTAGAGAAAGGTTTTTTTAATTTTAACAAATATTCCAAAATGTTTATATAGTCATGGAAATACACCTGAAATGTTTATGAGAGTTTCGGTGTTCAAAAACTGCGGAATGCTAACTTCTCAAGAGTTTCCTTTCCGCATTTCTAAAGAACTTTAAATGCTTGGGTAGCACATTAGTTTCACGGAATAAAACGTTGTGGACTTAGCGAACTGCTGAAGGAAGATCATCTTTGGCTCGTTGATCATAATGTGTTTATTTTTAAATTATTTGTGTGGATACCACAGGAATTTGTAAAGTAAGCATGCATGGCCTATATGAAAAATACGTAAAACATCCATGTATATGCTTGTGGCCGGTGACTAAATTTATAAGGTTTAATTACCTTCAGCCTAATTAACACTACAAATTCATGCAAAGAAGCAGTTGCAGTGTTTTATGTTGATGCCCTTCATGTTGCGACCTCTGTATGAATGAATATTATATTCAAAAATAAAAAATTGTCATCATCATAAGTCACTTCTACATGCATGGAAAATATCATAAGATTGCAATGACTTGAAATATTTGTTATTATCATGTCCACTACATGATTGATATTGCAAGACCAACATGAAAATAATGTCTTTTTGTGTGCTGCAATACAGATCATGCATCTTTCATTAAAAATGTAGCTGCTACACAACCTCCAGAGCATTTGAATTGTCTTCTGGACATGCTTCAAGTGAGAGGTGAGGCACTTGACAATACATTACATAAGTACATAACTAACATATGCCATTTATGTAGTTTGCCAATATTCTCACTAATTAATTGGGTCGCTTAACAGGCGAGCAGTTAGTTTCTCCCACTACTAAGAAAGGAGTTTTTCCTCTTGCTATTCCATTATCCAAACAGAGCTCAGGTTTGACACAACAACCATCTAAAATCTAAGCCTTTGTATTTCTTTTTAATGCATTTCTTTTTAAATTTCCATTAGGTGCTGTAACAGCATTACTGCGATGGCCTACTGCTCCACTTGGGTAATATAATGCGCCAAACAGCTAAAATTTTGCACAAACTTATGTTGCTTTGGATATTCCATTTTTTCTTCTTTTTCCAATTCCTGATCTTTGCAGTATGGAGATGCCCGTGGTGGAGGTTCGTAAGTACGGGGTTTGGCTTCTCGCAAAGAATGTAAGATCATTCAAAAACAATATGCAATATGCAAAAAAGACTTTATTTGACGTTTTTTTAAAAAAAAATTCAAGGCTTGATGTTTCGTCCAAGTACAGGTAGATCAATACATCCATAGAATTTTGGTGGAAGAAGATGCATGTTCTCATGCTGACAGTGATGCCCTTTTTCACGCTTCAGCTGGTGTGCAAGAGAAAGTTTACAAAAGGGGTGAATTCGCGGCTTCTCAAATTTCAAGCTTAGATATCTATCTCTGGAAGAAGGTGGTTGAATGCTGCTGTGATTTCACTCTTTTTATCTTTCATGTCACCAGCACATTGTGACTTTTTTGTTTTATGATTTATAGGTTGGGTTATTTCCAGATTTAATAGAGCGCAAAATAAAGCAGCATTTTGACAAGGGGGATGATGTAAGAAGATAATATTTGACACTTTTCCATGCAATAAAGTTTGTAGGACATCGATTGGTAATGCATGCATGTGATGGAAGATTTCAGCTATGGTGACCGGTGAATTCTATACCAGGAAGGAGCATTTTCCTGGGTTTGGCAGGCCATTCGTATTTAATGCAGAGATTTTGCTCAAGTAAGTGCATATCAGCAATTTGCTTTACTAAATAATTTTTATGCTGATTAGCAGTTTCCAATGTTGTATGCGACCTCTTTTGTTCCATTTGAAGGGTTGGGCGAAGGGCAGAGGCAAAGGATGCTGCTCGGGGTGCTTTAAAATCACCATGGTGGACTTTGGGATGTGAATACAAGGTCTCTGTGAACGGAAATCATTGAAGTCAGTCTTGTTACAGTGGCGTTTGTTCTGAATTCTGATGCATATCCCATTTATTTATTTGTTAAATTTGTATGCAGAATGTGGCGAAAATGGCTGAATGGGAAGAAGAACAAATTGAATTTATCAAAGAGAAAGTGACTAAGGAGGGTAGAGAGCAAGACCTGAAGAAGGGAAAAGATACCGCTCAGGTTGGTTGATAACCTCTCCAAAAGATTGAGTTTTTACTCTTATTTTTTTCCAATTGTTTTTAAATGGGAAGATCTTAGTCTCTCCCCTTAATTTTATAATTGTGAGGGGTTAGCAGAGAAGGAGAAAGGAGAAAAAAATTAAAACTCACTTTTAAAGTGGAGAAACGAGGTTATAAAGTTACGTAGTAAATAAGTAGAATGTGTAAAATGAGATTAAAATCCTTTACTAATCACACTTTGAATTCAGTAATTCTTTAAATTGATCTACAAAATTTCCTGCACTTGCAAATCCCCTCAATCCAAAAACGGGATTCATACAAGATATCATAGTTTGACCATTCCCATCCTCCCTCTTTTATTCACCATGCGTGTAGGTGTGTTTATTTAATATCCGTTTGACATTTGCATTAGAGTTTACCTTTGACATTTTGGAAAAGCTGTCTAAAAATAGCTTTTAGCTTTAGCCTTTTTCATCATTAATGAACATCAGTATTAAGTTATTATGGAGCATTCAGAACTCAAAACACCAATTACAAGCGTTGTTCCAAATTGACTCTTGGAGTATGTTTGGATAAGTGTAATTACAAGACTGTAATTACTAGAGTAGTAATAACATGCCTCTTATAGTATGTTTGGAGAGTGTAACTACACCCCTCCAATCACACTTAATTACATGCTGATTTTGTAATTACGCGGTCAACCAAACCAAACAAGACGAATACACCAAAATCCCAATTGCACAAGTGTTATCCAAACAGACTCTTTAATGTGCTTGTAGATTGCATTGGATGAAGCTGCATTCCTATTGGATTTAGCTTCTGTTGAAGGGAATTGGGATGATTGTGTGGATCGAATTGGTGAGTGTTACAAGGACGCCGGGCTTCATGACATGGCCAATTTTGTAGTTTGCAGAGACTAAAGTTGTGTGCTATTATGCAAAATAAAATAAAAAATTTCTGCCTTGGTTGTTTCAGAAATGTACTTTTACTTCACTCTCTTTCATTTTTTTGTATGGGAGTTTCATTGTCGTTCAAGGATCATTAGCGGTTGTTTGGAGATGTGTTGAGCAAGATTGGATTTTGGGTGTTTGTTGGAAATGTTGGTGTTGTGATGTGAAATTATTGAAAAGCGCTATGTAAAAAGGAGGAGGATATTTGAAGAAAAAGTTGGTATTTCTTTTAAAAGTTGTGGTTGAAATGTAGGATTTGTTTCGCAATTGCTTTAGCGTTTAGGTTTAACATTTTGAGAAATACCTGCATTTAGTTTTAGATTTTGTATTTTCAAAGGCTATGTTTGGTAGTAGTTTTAAAAACTTAACCTCAACATTTTGAGAAATGGCATCTAATGGTAATTTTTAGTATTACTCTTTAACACTTAAAATCTACTTGCACCATTTGAAAATTATCTAAAGCAATAATGCAGCCAAAAAATGCTATTTCCGAACTCATCAGAAGTCCACCTACGCCATCAAAATATTTTTCCAAATGCTAGGCATTAATCAAAACCTATTAAAGGGCACGATTTATGTAACACTGAACCTCAACGTTATAGAATGATCTGGGACTCTTACAATGTTTCAAATGAAAAATCAATTGTTTGTACTTTCCTTAAACTTCATCCCCTTAGCCAATTGACTACGGTGATCACTATTGCCAATCCACGAAGGGAGAGGGGCAGGGATAAAGTGGATAGGAACGATCAATTTTTAAAATGAAAATGAACCGTATCTTTTCTCAAACAAGGTCGTGGTTATACACAACTACAAATTGGTGTTGCTAGAATGAAAATAAAAATTCGACCAAATGCACCCCAAGGCTTTTTGAGATTTGTGAGATTTCACACCTTTTATCCGACGACATTGAAATGACACTAAAAAGTTTGATCGAACTTAAAATTACCCGCCACGTTGTCACAAAAAAGATGGATTTTTTTTTTGAGTTCTATTGGCCTTCAAATCTTCAATAATGGTTGAAACTGAAAAAAAATCAGTGCAGGACCACACGGGCGCAATTCCTTCTCCAAAGAAAATTACAACTTCCAATTTATGTTCTAATCACACCACAGCTAGAAAACATGAATTCATACTCTTTGGGAATATAGAACATGAAATAGAATCAAAGTCAGGAAATCAACACAAATAAACTAGCTAACCTATGTTGAAAATGTTTGTCAACGTTACAACAAAACCAAACAAGTATTGTTGACAACTATTTAGGCCAATGGAGGAGGGTGTTGCTTGGCCTGCTGTTTAACTCTCCGATCATACTCCGTCCGGTCCTGCACGCAACAATGTATTGTCACCAAACCACACCCCACCCACTATGAAAACACATTGCGTAGTCCAGTCCCATTTCTAATGTGTGCGAGCATGTACTAGTCACAAATGATAAACCCCAGTGCCCTTTATATCTTTTTTAGTACTATTAATTCAATTGCGTAGTATAATTTAGAGCTTGTTGTCTTCAACTTATCCTTATTCTTATTGGAATCAAATCAGACCAGATCATATCAAAAACAACTTTAAATACAACGACAATCAAATCAAATCAGGCAAGAACTTATTCCAAATAGATCAGGTGAAGAGAGCAAGGCCTTAGTATCTATGCATACATATTTTCCCAAACTACTGAATCACAAAGAGTTAATGCCCTCAATGACCTCCCATTTAGAAGAGTCACAGTTATGCCAACGACCACAAGGTCTTGGGCAGTGCCCTTTAAATCTAATCCATATTGTTTTTGTAAGTGAAGGTCACTGCCGCTTACCTGAATAAAAAGTTGATATCCATCAGTTTGAGCAGGGTCCGCTGGATTTGGCTGATCTAACAAATCTTGGATACCAATCAGAATCTGCTTCACTGTAATGGCTGGTCTCCAACCCTAGAAGGTGGTTTTAAAAATGCAATAGGCATGATTCTTTTTCTGGAAGAAAACAGAAGAGTTGGAATGACTTTAAAGAAAAGGTTAAAGAGACATACACTGTCTTCATTGAGGATTGAAAGACAAACTGTTCCTGAAGGATAGATATTGGGGTGGAAAAATCCTTGGGGCAGTTTGCACTTTGGTGGTTTGCTTGGGTAGTCTTCACTAAAGTGCATTGTCAGAGGGTAGTAGCCTCCATCCCAAATAGTCTGCAAGAAGAATGATTACCAATTATATTATAGAGCTGCAAAGTGGTAACTACAAGCTATATAATGAAAAGGCCTTCAAGGTCTAATATTCTCCATGCAAAAAAGGACCCCTTGAAGAGCTGAGATTAGCAGATGGATGCAATTACAATTGTACACAAGCAAGTAAGATCTACATTTCAAATTAGTTAAAATACTAACATACCAATTTACCACAAATATATTACTGATACAAGGTATAAAAGCTACAATAAGAATTTACCACTAACATATTACTAATAAAATTACTCGAGCTGGGGGTCTCCCTTTCACAAACATAACTTAGGTCACTTCAACTCCCATTTTATACGAGAAGCTAATTCCTACCGAACAAGATAAGAGCATTGTCCGTGTTGAGATTCCAGAGTTTTTTAAGGAAACATGACATCATTGTTATGAATAATTGTAGCACATGATTATCCAGACTTTATAATGAGATTGGTTATTTATCAGTCTTTACAGGTTGTGTCATATTTAATGACTCTAGTTGCTATTCAGTATTCATGTCTATTTATAGCGTATTATTTTATATTTTAAACTAATTCTTAGTTAAAAATCCTAAGGCTTACACATCAATATACCGTGATGCACATACCTCACCTCTTAATCTCTCATATGATATAGTGGTTTATGATATTGTGATTTAATGACTACGAGACTCGTGCAGGCCCCTATACTTGACCCGATGCTCAATAGCACCACATTTCTTATGGTCCATCACTAGCCTTTTCCACTTCCTTTGGAAATTCTGGGGGTAACTTTCTTGGTTTTAGAAGTAAAAGATAGCAATTTTATTGCAGACTGAACTTTTTTAATCCTGCTCTATTTTTAAACTATGCCATCAAGTTTCCTTTGCAATACATCTCCCACCTTGTAAGTCTGGGAGGTGTTTAGAACCTAAAATTTATGATCGAGCATTCCTTTTGTCAGAAAAGGAAATCATTTCAAGAAAGCAAGGAGAAGCAGTAAGTAATCTCAGGAAAAGGAGAAATAATGTCATAAGAGCTTAGGGTTGAGCTTAGGATTTGACTACTTCATTGAGGAACTGAGGAGGCAAAGTGCAATGAAAAACATGTACATAAGAGTGGAGGAAAAAGATGATAGTTTGGGTTTTAAGATACTCACAGGGCTGAGATTTTATTTGTGATAGTTCAATTACTTGAGTTAACTTTTATTTTATTTTATTACTCGCAGTTCTCTTTAGGCGGGATCCAATATATACTCCCTCCGTCCACAAATAATTTTCCCGTTGCGCGTTACGATGTTTGACTAAAGTTATTTTCAAATGATTTTGTATGAAAAATGGTGTAAAATTTAAAGATAAAAATTACATATTAAAAAACTATATCAAAAGATCTACAAAACTAGAGGTGACATGACTATATTATTTTATCAAATGGGTGACAAAAATAAGTCAACAAAGTGAATAAAGTTTGACCTGTGAAGAGTGAACGAGAAGTTTATTTGTGGACGGAGGGAGTATTTTATATGGTGGATTTTTGGTTAGCCGTCATTACCCAACACACCCACTAAGCCACTATCCACTATTGAATATTGATAGCACCGATTGAGGCCGAAAGTTTGGTCATGACACTAATGTCAGAGTGGTAGCAAGCAATATAAGGTTAACAAGTTGCATCAGTAATTTGTAGGTTAGGGTAAATGTTTGATTGGCCAAGGCACTGTGGCGAGAGTATGGGTGGTAAGTGAACCTGAAAGTTTCTTTTAGGGCTAAAACCCCTACAAATACTACTGCTGCAACAACCTACCAACCTACACACCCAGAAGGCAAGAATGACAAATAAGGGTCTGGGATGGGTGCACAAAGATGTTATCCCTACCTAGAAAAGGTATAGAGGCAATTTCCAAAAGATCCCAGATCATACGAACATTCAAATAAAAATTATGAGAACAAAAAAAGACGATGACCAATGAACATTCAAATAAAACAAGACAATTAAAACACTTCAATAATTAGAGCTTCCCCAATAAACCTAAGTCATCCACAGCGCAAGAAAGAGTCAAAGACACACCCACTACAAACCTAAACTATAACTCTAATACTCGAGTCCCAAACTCTCCTATCTATGGCCATGTCCTAGGTGAGCATAGTAAGATTTCCCCACCTTTAATTTGTGTTCTTTGGATACAAATCGTGGAAATAGCCTCTCTACTATCCAAGTAGGGGTAAGGTTGCTTCCAGACCCCGCTTTGTGGGATTTTAGTGGGTTGGTTGTTGTTATTTGGATACAAATGGGTTGCATTCTTGCGGGTGTGATCAACAATGAAGATTGTTATGAGACTGACAATATTAGCAAGACAAGTGAAGAATGCTCAAATTCAGGACTAAACAAGCATCTGTCATAACATGTCTACAAAAACACTACATCCATAAGAAAAACTGCAAAACTTCCTTTATAGAAGAGGCGGTACTCTTCAAATTGAAATTTGAAAGCAAATCATAACACAAACACTATCATTGACGGAACTCAATATCAAGACAAACAACGATGAGACACACATAGAACAGACCTATGAATTGTAGGACCAAAATCAGTGTAACCTAAATAAATACTGAGAATTCAAAACCGCGAAATCAAAGTACGGAGCAATAGTGATGACATACATACCCCTGCCTTTCCAGGAATACTGCAATGCCACACCATCATGTTAACTGTACCATCCTCGCGCGTCTCAGGCCTAGCAACGAAACCCTGAAAACCGGAACGAATTTGAGAAAAAGGAAATACAATCTCAGACAGATAAAATCAACCAGGGAGCAAAACAGAGGCCGGAGAGTGATCGAACATGGGGGTGATCCTTGCGCCACGACTTCCGCTCCTCCACCAGACGACCGTGGGCGATACCGGCTGACATATTTCTTGCGATCTTCACCGGAATTTCAATCTCTATGAGGAATTCTTAGGGCCTACAAGAAAGAGGGGGACAATAGAAGGAGCTTCACAAGAGCGATCGAGGGTTAAGATTATCCAGACCCCAGAGAGAGTCAGGACTTCAGGAGTATAAATATACACTCAGTATTAGACTAAATTTAAATAGGTTCGGTGAGCTAATAATTGTAGGTGGATTCCAAATCAGGGAAAAACACAATCTATTGGTTTATACGGGAGAGTGTAGAGGTTAATTTTTCTAAATTAGTCTTCAATAATTAATACTCTGTAATTATCAACATGATTCTTTATAATTGAGATGTAGTATTCTTAAATAGTTTTCTGCCAAAAATGTCTATTAAGTACTAGCCAAATAGAGAATATTTAGTATTTTCTATCATCTAGATTTAAATTGTATTCTTCAAAAGCTCCTTTCTAATTAAATATTTTTTTTAAACTAATAATTTCTAAGTAAATATTTTCTCAAAATGAAGTTTGTGAGCATATTCGGGGTGGTCACTTCTTGAAGCAGTCATCCACTTAATTTGAAAAGACCGTTTTGATGACTTATTCATAGTTTAGCTGATAGAAAATACAAAAATACCTGTCATTTAATTGTCATTTAGACCCTCTTCTTTTGGGTTGAAATTTCTAAGTTAGATGTTGGAAGAAGCTGGAAGGAGTTGGGAGAAATTGGAAGAAGTTGAAAAAAACTAGAAGGAGTTGGAAAATGTTGTAAGAATTTAGGTGTTAAAAGGTTACTCAATCGAATGATCATCTAAATAAATATAAAAAAAATTAATTTCGGATAAAAAAGAATTCATCATTCTTCGTGTTTGAGGTGATATGTTATAAATTTGGATATATAATACTATTATTTTATATTAATCATATATAAATACCTCTTTAAGTCGTTGTTGCAAGAAACTGGAAGGAGTAGAACAAATTAGGAGTTAAAAGATGTTGGAAGTTAACTTTTCCAACCTAAAAGATTAGAGCCTTAATAGGCATTTTTGACAGAAAACTATTTAGGGAATACATCTCAATTACAAAGGACCATATTGGTAACTATTGCTGGACTAATTTAGAAAACATATTATTAGAAAGGACCGTTTTGAAAATTTATTTATCCGCATACTATAAGAGTATAATATACACACCGTATATTGTTTGGAATATGTATTTTTCCAAGTCATAAACGTAGAGTATACATATTTTTTACTCCAAATGTATTTGCAAATTTTAGTTGTACTCTTTCTGTCTAACAATAACTTTTGTGTTCACTGTTCACAAGGTCAAACTTTATTCATTTTGTTGGTCTATGTTTGATGCTCATTTGATAACATAATATAGTCATATCACTTCTAATTTTGTAGATATTTTGATATAGTTTTTAAATATGTAATTTTTTTTATTTTCACACCATTTTTCATATAAAATAAATTGAATATAATTTCAGTCAAACATTATAACGCGCAAACAATATTTATAAATTTTTAACGTACTATATAGGAAAATGCTAGGAGTACACCAAAAGTGTACCCCAAACATCCCCCACCCCCTCCATCACCACACAAAAAGGCAAGAAAATTTCAAAAAAAAGTAAAAAATAAAAAAAATAAAATGAATGGTGTAGAGACAAGTAGTGTACATTTGGAGTACATCTTTGGTGTACCCCTAGCATATCCCTACTATATATTATACGTCTATTAGACCTTGCACTTATTCTCACAAGAAACGTGTGTTGTATTACTTGTATATTACTCCGTACTAACCAAACTTGGTACTCCCCCCCCCCCCCCAAAAAAAAGGATTGAGTTATCTTTTTACTTTTCTCATCAATAAATACGAGGGAAAAATGCTAAAGTAAAAATAAAATATACGGAGTAGATAAACAATTAAAATAGGATATTCATATTCTTATCACCAAAATAGGAGCTATAATGTCAATAATACCAATATATAATACCAAAAACGTTGTGAATATTCAATATGCATTGGTATATTGTCACACGTATATAATAGTCTTGATTTGAAGATAAAACAAGTCGCTCCTATTCTCGGATAATGGTTATATTTTTCTCTTAGTTTGGTTGATTTCTTTAAATACGAAGTATAATTTTAAACAAAAAAGTATTATACAAAATTATACTCCTTCCATCTCGTATCTTTCTTCTTATTTCCATTACAGTCTCTCAATAATTTATGTTTGTATGCATGTGTAACACTCTAAAACATGGCTTAAAATTATTCAAATGATCAAACTTTTTTTGAAACTATATTTAGGTCAAACAATGTATTGGTTCTGCGTTTGAGAAAAAATGAAAATGAAGAAACTTTCAAGTTAATGACCTTTTGATAAAACTAATTTCTGTCTATAGGTCTAGAATAGACTAAATCCAACAGTATACATTATTAACCAATCCGATTTGCATATTTTGAATTATATATAGACACACACCCATAGACACAAACACATGATATTTATTTTTTATTTTTTACATGTAAATTTTAAATTGTTAATATGTGGAGTATAAATTTCATTTTCATATGATTCATAAGAAATTATTAATATATAAAACTTTTTAATGATTTTTAATTTTGATTTTCTCATATCCTTTTTTTAAAATTAAAATTTAAAATATATATTTTTTAAATTTTGAATTTTTCTAACTTTTATTTTTTTTACATATATTATAAAATACTCCCTCCGTCCCAAAAATAATGAGACGATTTGACTTTTTGGGAAATTAAGGGAGGGATATTTTGGTATTGACTTTCCAAAAATACCCTTGATATGATGGGTAAAAGTAGGATGTGATGGGTAGATTATTAGGAAAAAGGTATGATGTGATAGGTAGGGTATGAAAAAGTAAGGGGTAAAAGTGGTTCGATAAGTCAAACAAGCCAAAGTCAGTCAAAGATGTCAAACGCTATCCGAAAAGCTGTTTTCCAAACACATCCTAACACTGTTATGGCTACAATCATGCTATAATACTCCCTAAAGTCGCATAATTTCAACCCAAAAATCATTACGAAGTACCTCTCAAATCTCACCCAAACCAAGATCAATGTTTCCCAAAATTATCATCTTATATCTCTTGTTCCGTAATTCCTCTTCATCTCTACAATTTGAGTAATAATACTTCATAACCGTTTCTGCAAATTCAAGGAAGAATAAGAAGTTATTAGAGTTTGAAGAAGAAGGTGACTCACCAGAATTTCATTGGAATCCAGTCAACAGGATCAGCCCGGAAATGTGAAAAAATGATACGGAGTACTCCGTATTGAATTGGTCCTGTGCAAAATTCACGTATTGGGGTCCTAATTTTTTTTTACAGAATAGGTGTGCTTTACAATTAGTTCTAAATTTGATTATTAGTAACCTTATTTATATTATACTCCGTAACATTTTGAATATTACGGAGTAAATTATAAATTTTATATTAAATTTAAAAATATTGAGTAATTAGAATAATGAACATCTAACTATATTGGGCCTTTAACGTTTAGGATCCTGTACAAGTGCACACCCTTCGGACCGTCCACGCCGGTTAACAATATTATCAACATGCGACAAAAGTTTCGTGGAGCGAACAACCTTCCAATCACCCACACAAGGCAGCTATAAAGTCTTGGCGTTCATTCATGACGATCCCGACCAATTGAAATGCAAAGTCTAGGCAAATCAGTCAACTTCTAGGTGACTTTCGACCCTCTTAACCTTGTTCACTTAACCTGGTATCTTCACAAAAATTCTAGCCTTATGTCTTACAAATCCAACACTTCAAACGGTTTGCAATGTTGTTGAGAAACGAAGTAAATACGGCCAAAATACCAAAGGTGGTCCTGTGAATCTGATCTAGTCTGATCTGGTCTGATCTGATCTGATTAGATCTGATCTAATATGAATTTGATTAAAACTAAAATTAAAATTTTTATTATAATAGTTATAATAATAATAGAAATATTAATAATAATAGTAATAATAATACTAATAACAATAATAATTATGTAATAATAATAGAAATATTAATAATAATAATAGTAATCATAATAATAATAGTAATAATAATATTAGTAATAATAATAATAATAGTAATAACTATAATAACAATAGTAATAATAATTATAGTCATAATAATTATAATTATAGTAATTGTAATAATAATAATAATAGTAATAGAAATAATAATTATAATAATAATAGAATTAATAATAATAGAAATAGTAATAATAATAAAAATAATAGTAATAACGAATATAATAATAATAGTAGTAGTAGTAGTAGTAATAATAATAGTAGCAATAATAATATTAATAGTAATAATAATAATAGAAATAGTAATAATAATGATGGATTAGGGATTTTTCGTAATCCAATATTATTTGAACAGTACAAGAAAGCCCAATTTTATCTGGCCCAAGATATAAATCAGATAAATTATTCAAGACAGAACCAGAGATATATGGACAGAAGAATATATATTTGAAGTGATGTGGAGACATTTGGCGGGACCCGTGGAACACTATCACATGGAAACCACATGCCGCACATGGGCTTCACATGGACAATGTCCCCTCTTTAAATGCAGGCTACGAAGGAGGAAGGAGAGAGACCAATTTCCTACTAGTTCTACTACTATTCTTCATTTTTCTTCTTCTTTATGCTTGGAGCTCCATTAATGGCTCCAAGCTCCTACAATGATGTATATGTAAATTCCATCGAAATTAATAAAAGTTCCTCCCCCTTTGGCATGGCACTGCCTAAAAAGGCCCGTGGTTTTCTCCCGATTTGGGTTTTCACGTATAAATACTTTCTCTCCGCTTTATTTATTTATTTAATTTCCGGATTTCGCTATTCGGTGCGGTGCCGACCCGGTACCGATTTCATCGGGTCGGCACCCCGAAAAAGCGGTTTCCATCACTGGCGCAACCCGTGGGACTGGTCACAAAAAGCTTTTGTGCTCCGAGTTCGTAATAAAGGAAAAAATGAGAGAGAAGGTAAAAACAATTAAATGGAAAAAGGGAGAGAGACGGAGAGAGGTGGGGGAGAAAAGTCAAAATAAAGAAAGATGAGAGAGCCCATTTCCTTTTCTTCTCAAATCGGAAAGTCGCATCACCAAATCTGGGCAGTGAGCTCCTCCTACGGCGAGCCACGGACAGCGGCTGGCCTCTGGTGAATACCTCCTTCCTCCGGCGAGCCACTCCCGGTCCTCTCCGGCGAGCCATTGGCGAGCCTCTCTCCGGCGAGCTTAGATCCGTGACCGCTGGGAGATCCAGCAGAGTCATAACCAGCGACAAGCTTCGACGAGCCCTTGGCGACTGCGGCCAGCATGGCGGTCCAGTAGACAAGCGACTCCTCTAGCTCCGGAAACTCCTCCCTCCGTCGCCGAGCCGCGGACCGCGGGGATCTTTCCGGCGAGCAGCGAGCACGCGGTAGGGGGACGCCGGCAGTACCCTCCACTAGGGTCGGTGAGTATCCTCCCAGACCTGCGAGCCCTCTAGCGCATTGGCGGATCTAGGTTTATTAAATGGGGGGCAATTGCCCCCTTGTCAATTGGCATGGCTAGTGTAGAAAAGATAAAAAAATTTGCTCGGCTAAATAGAGTGCCCCCAGTCAGAAAATGAAGAGCCATGAAGAGCTCCCAGTCCATTTTTGAAATATCATCTCAACAAAAAAGATAAGTACTATAGGTGAAGGTGTTGGGCTGCCCACTACATGAGTAATTCCATATAATATTTCTTTATTTGAAAATTGAGTTTTTATACGGGAGATTTATTGGGTATTCATTTATATGTAATACATTTTTTTATTGTCCAAAGTTGTACTTAATATTTTTGATAATTTTCTCTTTTACTTTATATAAAATGAGATCATTTAATTGATTGTAGCTGGTTATTTAATATTTGTCCAAAAAGCTTCGGAGTTTTAAAGAAGCGATACATTGTTGAAAAAAATTGTTACATGTAAAATGCAATTGAGAAAATATAGATTTTCAAAGCATTATAATTGAACTAAGATATAGATTGATGTATATTCTATAATATACTCACTCCGTCCCAGAAAACCTTTCTCCTTTCTTTTTTCATCCATCCCAAAAAACACTTCTCATTTCTATTAAAAAGTCACTTTTACACCTTACTTTTTCATACCCTACCTATCACATCATACCTTTTTACTAATAATCTATCCATCAAATCATACTTTTACCCATCACATCAAAGGATATTTTTGAAAATTCAATACCAAAATACACTCCCCTTAAATCCTCCTTCAAAATCAAAATTCTCATGTTTTCCGGGACGGAGGGAGTATGTTTTATTTGTCTAAAATTACTAAAATAATTTATTGAATTATTGATACTTTTTTTCATCACCTACTTCTGAACCATTTACACTTTTGTTACCCGGAGAAATTTATCATTAGATTTTTTGAGTATTTAATTTAAACTCTTTGAATATATTTTTTAATAAAAAATTTACTTCACAACTTTTGTATATTTTAAAATTCTCTTTAAAAAAATTTGGGCTAATGATGTCTAGAATCCCGTTCTTGACGTACGTACAGATGGTGCCCCCAGTCATAAAATTTCCTGGATCCGCCACTGCTCTAGCGTGCTTCATCTCTGGCGGTATCCAGCGGCGAGCCATACCACTAGCAATTGTCCACTCCGGCGAACCTTGGCCCGGAAGAAGCAAGCTCCCACTTCCTCCGGTGGGCCACAGACAGCGGCGGCGGCCCTCCGACGAGCTCCCACTCTTCCGGCGAGCCGCGGGTGGCAGCGGCCGCGATTGCTCCAGTTCGTCCATCAAGCTCCCCCTGCTCCAGCGAGCCTCATCGACAACAAGCGAGCCTGCTTCTTCGACGAGATCCGGCGAGCACCGAATTCCTCTGCCAAAAAACGGACGGAATTGGCGAGATCCTCTCCAGTGGTCCTTTCCGGAAGTCCCCTCCGGCGGTCCTCTCCGCGGTTCTCAACGTGGTCCTCTCCGCAGTCCCCTCCAGCGGACCTCTCCGCGGTCCTTTCCGGAAGTCCCCTCCAGCGGTCCTCTCCGCGGTCCTCTCCGGTGGTCCTCTCCGTGGCCCTCTCCGGCGGTCCTCTCTGCGGTCCTCTCTGGTGGTCCTCCCCGCAGTCCTCTCCAGCGGTCCTTTCTGGTGGTCCTCCCCGCGGTCCTCTCCGGCAGTCCTC